CTCCGTCACGGGGCCGCGTTCTCTCGGTCTCTCTCGGAGATGCTGGGGAATGAATGCAGGTGGGCTTGAAGATTCTGCTGTGTGTGAATCAGCTTCTCTGCCACAGAATCCCTTTTCTATTCAAAAATAGAATTTATCCAGGAAGCTAGAGTCAAGGTCCTCCACAGGGGAGGAGCAGTTTTTCATAGGTTTTTGAGGTCAATCCTGGGTTCAGTTAAGTGGTTGACTTTTTGTGTCCATTTTAGTGCAGTTTTAAACAAAACGGTCACAAACACGTTCAGCTTCACGATCGGTCATGCAGAGTATGTTGTTGATGATTTTTTTTTAATCTAAAACCTTCTTTGACCCGAAACAGGCATTTCGTGCAGATTAAATTGAACAAAACATCTGCTTCTATAGCTCGTCTTTTTTGTCCTGTTGTGCTACATTTTAAAAAATTTCTATTTGACAGTTTTGCCTATTTTTTTTTAAGATTTTATTATTTATTTTAGAAAGAGCGTGCAAGCAAGCGGGGCGGGGAAGGACAGAGGGAGAAGGAAAGAGAAGCTCCAGCGGACACCCCACTTAGCGTGGAGCCCGACTTGGGGCTCCATCCCCGATCCCACAACCCTGAAATCACGACCTGAGCCCAAATCAAGAGTCAGGTGCTTAGCCAACAGAGCCACCCAGGCATCCCCCTCACCACTCACTCCTCCTTAAGTTTTGGTTTCAAAATTGAGAAAATCACCTAAGGACTTAAGGCTTTTTTTTTTTTTGTCTTCATAGAGAGGAATTTTCTTCAATAATTTTAATCCCAGAAATACAGAGTTCACGTCACTCATTTATAAATACTTGGGTTGTGTATACAGTTTCTCATGCAAAGTCTTTATATCTTTTACCATGTTGTCTCTTTATTTAAAAAGGTTTTCATGATTTAATTTTGACCTTACTTCCATGACTGAATAATCAAAGTTAAGAATTATTTTTGTTATTCATCTTTGCTTTCTACTACCTGTATAAGGAATATGAATGTTTAAAGGACTCATGAATCAATGTGAGGATGGGTAATATGTCACAGCTAGCTCAAAGGAAAATTCAAAGAACACACACCATGTACAGAAGCAACCAGGAATTCTGGAATGACTTTGTGAATAGATGCAGAATTGACCCGTCCCCAGTGATGGTGACAACCCTTTGCATTCTTCCAGACAAAATCCATGTGTGCTTCTGTAGATGAGAATTATTTGCAATACCGTTCCTATTGTACATTCTACAGAGTTTTAAGAGTCGCTCCAAAACAAGGGAAGACTTAGCCCAGAGGGTATACTAGGTAGGAGATCCAGTAATAATCTTGTCCATTTTGAAGACTTTCACACTTTCCTGACAGTGCTCCTTCCATTCGTTGTTTATTATTGTCCAATTTATCTGTCCTCTGGGACAGTGATGGGCTAATTTGTCACACTAAATGACTTAATCTCTGTATTTTTAATGTGTTCCCTAACTGTATTTTTAGCCATGTTGTTTGATGCATATAGACTTTGGTTATGTTTTTATTATATAAAAGGTACATGTTCAACTTGCAAAATTCAGGAAACAGAGAAAAGTATGAAGAAGAATTTCAAATTTCTACTCCCAACGTTCCTCACCACTGTTGTGTTAGTTTATTACCTTATTATCTCTGAGCCTTTTTGTCCCCATGTGTATTTCTTTAATATACTTAATACCGTTCTGTGCACACAAAAATTTATTTTTTGCTTTTTTCCCCACCTAATATTTTTAACACTTTCCCCACGTTATTAAAACTGTCCAGAAGCATCTTTTTAAATATTAATATTTAAATGTCCTGTTCTCCTCTTTGGGGCATATTAGATTATTACCAGGTTTTTGCTATTATAAATAATACTGTAACCTTGGGACATAAACATTTATGCACATTTTGCATGATTTCTTAAGGATGGATGATCAAAAGTGGAATTACTGGGTCAAAGAATAAGAGCAGTACAAGGCTCTGGATATAAAGCAAAATTGCTTTATGAAGTGGCTATGTCCATTTGAGTCCCCATTGCCATGTTTATTTATTTATTTATTTTTGCTAGTTTTTATTTTTTTATTATTAATCACCATACATTACATCATTAGTTCTTGATGTGTTCCATGATTCATTGTTTGTGCATAACACCCGGTGCTCCACGCAGAACGTGCCCTCCTTAATACCCGTCACCAGGCTAACCCATCCCCCCACCCTCCTCCCCTCTAGAACCCTCAGTTTGTTTTTCAGAGTCCATCGTCTCTCATGGTTCGTCTCCCCCTCCGATTTCCCGCCTTCATTCTTCCCCTCCTGCTATCTTCTTTTTTTTTCCTTAAACATGTATTATTTTATTTTTTATTTTTATTTTTTATTTGATGGAGCGAGAGCACAAGCAAGGGAAGCAGCAGGCTGAGGGAGAGAGGCAGGCTCCTTGCTCAGCAGGGGCTCGATCCCAGGACCCTTGGATCATGACCTGAGCCGAAGGCAGGTGCTCAGCTGACTGAGCCACCCAGGCACCCCTCCATTGCCGTGTTAATGGCATCTTCGAGTGATACTATGACTTGTCCTGTTGATTTGACCAAATTTGGTGGCAGGATTTTTTGCACAGACTTGACTTTGTTAATCTTGTGGTGCTGTTTTGGTTTAGAGGTGCCTCCGTGTGGCTCTCATTTCGTCAAGTCTGGGACTGCATGTTTACACGAGGGAACTGAGGCTGCTTTCTGCTGGATTTTATGGTTATAATCCGTCTGCTCTGACTGCTGTTGGCATCTTTTATGCTTCCCATTTTGCGTGCTTCCTTTGTTCCTCGGTTTGCCATCTGATGGTCAGCTTTGTTAATAGCATTGATTGTGATTTCGAAGGGAAACATTGTAGCTTTCATTTTTCACTGGCCACCTCGAAAACAGGCGCTTTTTGAGCGCACTTCCTCCTGTTTTTATACCTAGCTCATAAAAAACACTTCCTGTGCCTTTTTGTGAAATTAAAACAAATTTGAGATCTTCAGATATTTGTTCCATACTTCTGCCCTCTTTATTGACATAATCCAGTGTGATCAAAATTAAGCTATGATTAATATTTTCATTTCCTGATCTCTGTAACTTTAAATTTAATTACAGCTATCACTGCTGCTGTTTTCATGACTCTCCTAACCAAGAGTTCTTTCTTAGGTTCGACCCTAGATATTTCAGGGGGAATTCCTAGGCATAGTTTGCTGGAAAGGCGCTCATCTGGTAGCATGTCAGAGATTTGCAGGTTTCTGAGGGTCTCCCTGTTGTGTGTCTACCCGGTACAGAATTCCTGGATCTGACCCTTTTCTTCTGGAATCGGTGGAGTTGGTCTCTTGGTTGAGGCATCGATTGTGGTGGAGGAGAGATCTGTAAAGGCTCATTTTCTTTCTTTTTTTTTTTTATTAAAGATTTTATTTATTTATTTGACAGAGAGAGACACAGCAAGAGCAGGAACACAAGCAGGGGGAGTGGGAGAGGGAGAAGCAGGCTTCCCGCAGAGCAGGGAGCCCGATGTGGGGCTCGATCCCAGGACCCTGGGACCATGACCCGAGCCAAAGGCAGACGCTTAACGACTGAGCCACCCAGGCACCCTGTAAAGGCTCATTTTCACTCCTTGGAAAATAACTCGTCTTTCTGGAATTCAGCTAACCAGTTACACTCATGGATCTTTTGCAACCTCAGCCACGGATCTGGGTGCTTCTAATATACTTACAGCTCATTTTTCTGCCTGATGGTTTCTAGCAGGCTCTCTCTCTTTGCATTTAAATTCTTACCACATTATATCTTCTTGGCCATTCATTTGTCCAGGGCCCATTGATCACTGGATTGAGTGTGGCTTCAGCCGTTTGCTGGGGAGGGTAATCGGTCACTGAAATGCATTAGGTGACGGGAGCCTTATCTACCTTCTGCCACAGATTCATTCTCGGTCGGGGCTCGTCTCCAGCGTTGGCACAGGACATCCCCCCCCACATGCCTCCCTGCGTGTGCCTGCCTGTCTTCCCCACGCTCCCCATCCCTGCCTCTGTTTCCCTCTCTGTCTCTAGCCATGTGTCCCTTGTGCACTCATTGCTAGTTAATTCCTGGTCGGAGTGATGGATGGCTCAATTTGCTGTCCTTGGGAAGCCCTGTTTTCCCTCGCCATGCCAGGGACGGTGGACCTCCAAGGTGCCGGGCCCTTGGCTCGGCGCAGGGTGGTCTTGGCACAGGAGGTGGGGGCGCTGCACAGCGTTTTGGGGACCAGCGTCCCCAACACGGTGCTTATTGGATCCCTTATCATCTTGAGTGACCCGGCTAAGCCAGAAGCTTCTCAGTTCCACCGTAAAGCCTTCGGAAGCCAAGGGGATCACAGCTGGATCCAGAAGCCCTGAGAAATGTCTTTGCTGCGGACTCTTGACGGAAGGGGAGATGCCGTCCTGCAGCACGGAGTGAAGTCTGTGGCGATGCTTTTCCTCTTCCTGTCCCCGGAAGTCGTCCTCTCGTGGCCTCTGGGTCTCCTCCTCTCCGCTCACCCCAGGCTCCCTGCTGCCTCCTCCTGCTGCGATGGAGTCTCTGGCATTTTCTTGAGAGGAGCCAGTTGAACTTCTCTGGTTGCTTTTGAGGTTTCTTTCATTTTTTTCTGGGTAGCATCACGAAGGCCCAGGAGCCCAAGGAATCCTCGGAGGAGGAGAGAGGGGCAGGGTCGTGTGCTCTTCTTCTGCCACACTTCGTCCCTGTCACGGAGAACATCAGGAACGCCGCCACCAGTGGGCGTGCTTCTCTCTCCCAGCCCCTCACCAGCATCGTCTTCAGCGTCACCTCCGTCATCCACACCACCATCCTCTTCAGCCTCTCCATCACCACCTCTGTCGTCATTGTCACTGCCATCATCACCACCACCATCATCACGTGACGCCGTCATCATCACCAT